CTCACACTCGCTTAAATGATATGCAATATAAATGAGTTCTTAACATGTCAGACCTCTGGCTAATGCCATCCTACTGCAAGTAAGGTTTTACCCATAAGCAAACATATGAAAATGCCACTGATTTAGAGGAAATATCATAGAATCATAGAACAGTTAGGGTTGGAAAGGACCTTAAGATCATCAAGTTCCAAGATTCCTGCCATGGGGAGGAACACCACACACTAGACCATGTCACCCAAGGCTCCGTCCAACCTGGCCTTGAACACTGCATCACAATTTCCTTGGTCAACCTGTTCCAGTGCCTCACCACCCCCACAGTAAAGCACTCCTTCCTTATATCTAACCTAAACTTCCCCTGTTTAAGTTTTAAGTCATTACCCCTTGTGCTACCTCTACAGTCCCTAATGAAGAGCCCCTCCCTAGCACCCTTGTAGGCCCCCTTCAGATACTGGAAGGCTGCTGTGAGGTCTCCACGCAGCCTTCTCTTCTCCAGGTGGAACAGCCCTAACTTTCTCAGCCTATCTTCATACGGGAGGTGCTCGAGCTCCCTCATCATCCTCATGGCCCTCCTCTGGACTTGTTCCAACAGTTCCACGTCCTTTTTACGTTGAGGACACCAGAACTGCACACAATACTCCAAGTGAGGTCTCACGAGAGCAGAGTAGAGAGGCAGGATCACCTCCTTTGACCTGCTGGTCACGCTCTTTTTGATGCAGCCCAGGATACAGTTGGCTTTCTGGGCTGCGAGCGCACACTGAAGCCAGCTCATGTTAAGTTTCTCATCAACCAACACCTACAAGCCCTTTTCCACAGGGCTGCTCTGAATCTCTTCTCTGCCCAACCTGTAGCTGTGCCTGGGATTGCTCCAGCCCAGGTGTAGGACCTTGCACTTACTTGGCTTGGTTGAACTTCATGAGGTTGGCATCAGCCCACTTCTCAAGCGTGTCAAGGTCCCTCTGGATGCCATCCCTTCCTTCCAGCTTATCAACCTAACCACATAATGTCATTGGCAAACTTCCTGACGGCACTCTCAATCCCACTGTCCCTGTCACCAACAATGTCGAATAAGACAGGTCCCAACACTGAATCCTGAGGGACACCACTCGCTACTGGTCTCCAACTGGACATTGGGCCATTGACCACAACTCTTTGCATGTGACCATCCAGCCAATTCTTTATCCACTGAGTGATCCATCCACCAAATTGATGTCCCTCCAGTTTAGAGACAAGGATGTTGTGCAGGACAGTGTTAAACACTTTGCCCAAGTCCAGGTAGATGAGACCAATTGCTCTTCCTCTATCCATCTGTTCCATAGCTCCATCATAGAAGGCCACCTTAATAAGCAGATTCCTGAAGAGGCCAAATTCTGCTCTCTTGAAGTACAGGCAGTGAGCTGGCTGTATGCCCTTCTCACTGTCCTAAGGATCTTGAACTTGATCATCTCACGATCACTAGAGCCAGGGCTGCCCTGGAGGGTCACATTCCCAAACAGCCCCTCCCTGTTGGTGAGCACAAGGTCAAGCATGGCACCTCTCCTTGTTGGCTCCTCTATTACTTGCAGAAGGAAGTTGTCTTCCACACAATCGAGGAACCTCCTGGATTGCCTGTGCCGGGCCATACCATCATTCCAGCAGATATCAGGGTGGTTGAAGTCCCCAATGAGGACAAGGGCCTGTGAGTGTGAGGCTGCTCTTATCTGCCTATAGAGCGCTTCATCCACAGAGTCCTCCTGATTAGACAGTCTGTAACAGACCCTCACAGTAATGTCCCCCATAGCTGTTCTCCCTTTGACCATGACCTGTCCCCAGACACAGTTCAACAGTCTCCAGCCTATCACTGATATAAATAGCTGTTCCCCCTCCCCGTCTGCCTCACCTGTCTTTCCTAAGGAGCCTGTAACCTTCCATTCCAGCACTGTAGTCATAACAGCTATCCCACCATGCTTCTGTGATGCCAATGATATCAGACCCCCATAGACGTGCACACATCTCTAATTCCTCTTGTTTATTCCCCATACTACAGGAGTTTGCTTAGAGGCATCTGAGCAATGCTCCAGATGAAGCTGACTCATTGGCTGGAGCAGCTGAAATAGCTCTGCGCTGCTTCAAGTGTTTCTTACATGTGCTGGCAACCAACTGGGAATCTTGGGGTGAACTGATATCTCCCTCCCATAACACATCTAGTTTAAAGCTGCCTTTACCAGCCTGGCAAGTCCCCTACCAAAGACTAGCTCCAACAGCCTCCAGTAGACCTGGCCTCCCAAATCGGGTCCCATGTTCTAAATAACCGATCCTCTGATGATGGCACGACCCTTCTATCCATTTATTAACCTGCCAAATCTGCCTGGCCTTTTGGGGGGTCCTCCCCTTTGACCTGGATGATCAATAAAAAAAGCTATGATAAAAAATACAATTAAAAAACTCCAGAGCCCCTAACCACATCTCCCTTCCTAGGGAGGGCTTCGTAGGCCTTCCTTATGAGTCCCAGGCTACTGCTGTCTATATCACTAGCACCCACATGGACCACCAGAAGCAGGTAACAGTCAGCGGGGCTTACTAGAGCAGGCAGCCTCCCAGCAACATCCCTGATGCGAGTCCCTGCTCGGCAATGCACCTCCCTCGAGACTGGGTCAGGCCGACAGACAGCTGCCTCTGTGCCCTTCAAAGCAGAGTCACCTACTACTGTGACCCACCACTTTCTCCTGCAGGCACCAGTAGTGATTCTCTTCACTGGTGCACCAGCTGGTTGCTCATCTGGTGCAGTGGGTGTTTCCTCACTAGCCCCCTGCAGAGCTGTGAAGCGGTTCTGGGTGGGGATGTGGACTTCAGAAGAAGCCCCTTGGTTTTAACTGTCCTCTTCCTCCTTTTTTGTATGTTACTAGCTCCCAGCTCCCTGGATTGATGACCTCCTCCTTTTCTGTCTGCCCCACGGCGGCCGCTTGCGGCCCCTGAACAGTTTGGGCCTGGAGCAAGCAGTCCACCTCCCTCTCAGCTCCCCTGACATCTTTTTGCTATTGACAGCGTCCCGCAGCTCAGCCCCTGCTGCAGCAGGACCCCCACCAGGGCGCACCGAGCGCAGCCCTGCCCGTTGCGTACCCTCGCCTCACGAGGCACTTCCTGCACCCCGAGCTCTGCGCTGCAGCCTCCCCTCTCATCGCCTCTGTCTGGTGCCGGGGCAGCCAGAGCCGAGCCAGAGCCGAGCCAGAGCCGAGCCAGAGCCGAGCCAGAGCCGAGCCAGAGCCGAGCCAGAGCCGAGCCAGAGCCGAGCCAGAGCCGAGCCAGAGCCGAGCCAGAGCCGAGCGCTCCCCGTCCCGCTCGCGCTTCCGACGCCAACCGCCGCGCCACGCGCTGCTCACGCGCACCCTGGGTCGGGTTTTACCGGCTCAGGGCGGGGCCGTCCCTCCTGGCACCGCCCCCTGCTCGCCCCTGCTCGGCTCCCTGGAGCTGCCGGCTCCTGGGCAAGGCCTGGCGAGGGCTGCGGACTCCTTCGGCAGCTGTCGCCGCTCAGAACTGAGGCTCCTGGACGCGGGGTTTCCCCTCCCTCCGGGGTTGAAGGCTCCTCTATGGAGGCACTCACCTCGGCAAATGACCGTTACTGGCCGACGAAAACCGGTTTAAATCTGCCCATCCAACAACTACACAAGTACTGTCTTTGCATGCTGAATCTTCCCTAAAAAGAGATGGTGAAATCCCAACATGTAGCCGAAGTCAAGGTAATAGGTTCTGAAATCCAGACCCACCATTTTTAATGTTTTCAGGCAATTCTATGGTGTGCTTTTTGCCTTGTTTATTGCGTACAAAGATGTAAAATCTTTCAGAAGTAGTGCTAAGGTTGTAACAATACTCTGACAGTTTAAAACATGAAAATTACATTTGGATGGGTGACAAGAGCTTGCAGGTGCAATACCAAGTACCTTGGTGACTAAAAAGAACATAATTCTGATACTAACTGGCAGCAGGTGTTGGCTGTGCCTTGAGCTGAGGTAGGATTTAACATATTAGCATCAAAATAAGGTGGAGAAAACTGCAGTTGAAAATAATTCTGCAGTGAAAATATTTATTATTCAGATCAAATTCTTCTCCCGCTGACATGTCAGGCAGTCCAGCTCCCATAAATACAACTTTGTCCTACCCCTCTTGCAACGTGAGATTCACCAGGTGACAGCCTGCAATTCATAGGAAGTATATTTCATAAATAAATCAAAGATTGAGTAATTCATCAAGGCTTGAAACACATAATACACTGTGTATGATCTATAATTTATATTCTCAGGAAAAAAAAAAAAACACAACATGATCTCATTGCTCAGACTAAACAAAAGGAGTTCAGGAACTCCCGTTCCTACAAAGCCATGAGAAGTTGCCAGCAGATGCAAAATGTAACCAGTTAATTCAGAAACTAGTGTCTTTCAACATCAATACTGAAATTAATGTAAATTTATTGCCAAACATGCCTACTCTTTCCACCAAAGTTGGAAATTCTTTTCAAAATGCACTTATGTGGAGACATTCAGTTGTATAAAATGCACTCGCAGTATTTGGAGATGTTCAGCCACAGTTGAAAAATAGGTCAAAACAATAATAGCGCTGCTTAGAGCAGTATTTCTTTAAGATAAATTAGCAGCAGCCTTTAATTACTGTTGAAAAGGATCACCTCCTTGTGTATTCCTGATTGCACGTTCCCACCAATTTCATCAGGATTTGCAGATGTGCAACACCTGTCAGATTAGTCTCCGTGCTAATAAATGAATGTAGTACCTTCCATAAAAAAAAAAATAATCATAATAACGACTAGGACATAAGTCTATCGGCCATGGAAAGAATACAAGGTTGATTTTCTAAGAAAAGATAATTAATGCTTCCAGTAAGGGTTAATTACACTGCTATTCCCAAGCTGCTTTTACGTATGAACAGCCACCGGAGGCTCCCACTATTCTACCGCTTCCCGCAGGGCCGAAGCGCTCCTCCCCTTCCTCTCACGGCCGGAAGCGGGGCACGTGTGCAGCTGCAGTCATGGAGTACATGGCAGGGCCTGCGGCGCCCACCCAGGGAAACATGTGAGCCGTAGCCGGTCCCCGGGCGTGGGAAGGCCTCCGGGCGACCTGTTGTCGCGGGGGGTATCCGGGTGGCAATGAACCGGGGCGGGGCTTGACGGTTCTCCTGGGCCGCCGCTTTTCGGGGGGGGGGGAATAGAATAAAAAATGAATTAAAACCTCTCCGCGTACCCTCGGTTGCCCCCAGAGGATTTTTGTGGCCGTTACGAGGTGCTGTTTGTGGCTGACTTTTTTTCTCTCTCTTCCAGCCTCTGCTGCCAGTGTGGTATGCCCATTCCGCCCAACCCGGCCAACATGTGTGTGGGGTGTCTGCGGGCCCAAGTGGACATCACCGAGGGCATCCCTAAGCAGGGCACCCTCCACTTCTGCAAGCAGTGCGAAAGGTGGGCAGCCGGGCCCCTCCTGAGGGGAACCGGTCCTCGGTGCGGCTGGAAAGTGGGGCAACGTATGGCACTCTTTCCCGGTGCATGCTTTCTTCAGGTCTCATGATTTTTTGGCACGTTCTTGTATTTATTTTCCCGTGGAAGTAGAAAGGTGTCAGTATATAGAGCATAGAGCATTTAAATGAGTATGTTTATGGTCTTTGAAAGGAAAGATGTGAAAGGATGGCAGTAAGAGTGTGAATGTACTTGAAATGTGTGACTCCTAATGCTGAGGGAGGCAAAATTGTAGCTGCATAGTTAATACTAAAGCTGAAAGCCTGGGAAATATCTGCTTATCTTTTGATTGCTTTAAATTACCGAAGCTGCTTTAATGTGCTGTAAAATATTTCATTATATATATCGTATATCAAACGTATCATAGGTATCTTCAGCCTCCAGGAACCTGGATCCAGTGTACCTTAGAATCAAGAGAGCTTCTTGCTTTGTGTCTTAAAAAAATTAAAGCTTCACTGAGCAAGGTTAGTTGTTAATACTATTTTATGGCGTGTCTTTTGGTTGGTATTGCATAAAGTGGTCCCACTAACTTATGCAGGGTTCGATCCTTAACAGAGCAGCTGTTTGTACTTGTGTAGAGCTGATCAACTGATTTACAGTACACAGAGAGAGTGACAATCCCATCTTAAATAGCTGTATACTGGAATTTGGGAGGATGCAGTAAGGACAGGCTCTTACAAAAAATTTCCAAGTGTGCTGAGGAGACTTTTGCATTTCAGTTCTGTGACTTCAAAGCATGCAGTGTACTGCACAGTAGTTACTCTATAGGAGGCAGTTGAGTACAATTAACTGAAGGAAACTAATATGTTTTTAATGCACCTTAATATTATAGTTTTCTTTTTACACATTTTTAAAATTGTTTATACAGTACTTCTTACCAGTTTATAACAACATGAAAGGGGGTTGTACAGGGGTATATATAGATTAAATTGAAGTAATGTGTTTAAATTGAATAAAGTATCTCTTGGGTTCAGAGTCTTACCAGGGGAAAAAAATCTGAGATAGTGTTTTAGACAAAAAATTGTTTTGCTACTACAATAATCAATCAAGGTTTGAATTAGATTGCCTTATTGAGCTTCTTGCTATCGGGTTAGTGCTTAAATGTACAAAATGTCTTTTGCTGCAGTAAACTTGCATGTTCTTAGTTTTAGAGATGAAATTGGCTTTTAGGTCCTGAGGAAACTATTATACCATCCCAATTCATCGTTATGTGGCATCCAGCAATAATGTCAAATAGTGTATTCAGTTACTCTGATGTGACAGTCTGAATTTGGATTGCAGTTACTTTAGGTAGAACAGACTCGGTGTCCTAACTAAGCATTGTCAGTTAGGTTGGGTGTACTGATAAATATGGTTTCAGTTAAGGTTATTCACTGTTGCTTGGTTGAGGATCTATAAACTATAAGCTTATGTTTTGTGGTAGTTAGAGCTGCACGTTTTTGACATGTATGGGCAGTAGCCAGGTTCATGTTCTTTCTCATTGGCAGGTCCGGCTGATTGATGCAGGCTTTATTTGGACTGAACCTCATTCTAAGAGGCTGAAGCTGAAATTGACTGTTCAGAAAGAGGTAATCAGAGTGTACAGTGTTCACTGTGTGGCTTTTATGGTAAACAGGAGCTACTGAGGAAACCTTTTAAACTTCTCTTTTGCAGGTGATAAATGGAGCAGTTCTTCAGCAAGTATTTGTGGTGGAATATATAGTGCAGTCTCAAATGTGTGAAGACTGTCATAGGATTGAAGCTAAAGACTTCTGGAAAGCTGTAGTGCAAGTCAGACAAAAGGTAGAGGCAAACTGAGTTTTCATTTGTTGATGGCAGAACAATCAAGCAGACAAATGTTTGGATGATTTTCTCAGAAAAAGATGGACTCTCACTTGCACACTGCCAAACTGATAAATTATATGCTCAAAGTGGAGTTTTTTGTTTTTCTTACAGATGCTGGTATAGAAAAACATTTTTCTGTCTAGTGTTATTAGTGTATTCTTTTTAAATGATGGCTGGCAGGAGGTTCTTTTGTGAAGTACTAAATATCCTGTATTTTAAGGTAGTGTTAGAAACAGTGGGACAAATTGTTTATGAATGTTTACATTTTCTTTAAAGAAAATACTATCTCTAACAACCAGTTACACAAAAATGAGAAGCAAAAGCTGTACATTATTTGGTACAATTAGAGCACATCTGAACCTTTTTGATTGCTTGGAATAGGCTTTGAACTGTTCTTTCTCTAGATGACCCTTTTATATAAACACTTAGAGATACTGCATTTACACTAGAAAGTTTATAAATAATCCTAATAATTTTATTTTTGGTTTTAGACTCTGCATAAGAAGACTTTCTACTACTTGGAGCAGCTGATTTTAAAACACAGGCTTCATCAAAATACGCTTCGCATCAAAGAAATCCATGGTAAGTGAGAGCTGTTAGTCTAGAGGTAGGATAGACTAACCTGTTTGATATCGGAAGAGTGCTTGTGCTAGTAGCCATGTACGGGTAAGCAGAGATTACTTAGCCTATGTGTTGTATTTGAAAAACAAAAAAAAATGTAGTACTTGACATGTTCATTAAGCTTTGTTTTCCTTAAGATGGCCTGGATTTCTATTATTCTTCAAAGCAACAGGCCCAGAAGATGGTAGACTTTCTTCAGTGTACCGTTCCATGTAGGTATGTCATTTACCTTTATTGCTATGGGTACTCAAAAGCTTTTGGGAAATGTCTTTTGTCCTTCATTTTTTAAGAATTTTGTATGTGAAGGTGTAAAGAGCCAGCATTCTAGTTAAAACACAAAATCCCTTCTATGGAAGTCCTGTATTTTCCCCTTAGGCATTTTAAAACTAGCCCTCATGCATTTTTCTGTTTCCTTAATTTTTGTATTTGTAATATGTAGCTCTATATGTTCATTATTCCAAGTAATGTCCTTATTGTTGCCTGAAGGCTCTATTTTTGTCTTACAGATCAAAGTCATCCCAACGTTTGATCTCACATGATATTCATAGTAATGTCTACAATTACAAAAGCACTTTCTCTGTGGAAATAGTTCCAATATGCAAGGTAGCATTCTGTATTTCATCTTCAGCGTGTTGTATGAAGTGGGTGGAGTTCAATTTTGGTCATGAAAGCCTGATATATTGTGTATCTGGGGGGATGAGAACGGCTCTACTTGCCACAAAGCATGGAAAGTGGAGATAGTGCTATTTTAGGAAGTTACAGGGTGGAGAACTGGAAATAGAAAGTTTAAAAATCTATTTCTCTAAATAAGTTTTCTCTAAATACTTGATTAAAAATCAGGTAAATCTGAGTGTAAATTTATTTTCTGTTTGTATGCAGGACAGTGTTGTATGCCTGTCACCAAAACTGGCACAGAGCCTTGGGAACATGAGCCAGATCTGTGTGTGCATTAGAGTAACAAGTACCATTCACCTCATCGATCCTAGCACTCTGCAGAGTAAGTTGCAGGTTCTTTTCTGCACTGAAGCAGCATCTGATTTTTCTGCTGGCACAATTATTTTTATTATTGTGTTGATTTCATGAAATCTTTTATTTTGAAATCTTAATGTTGTAAATTTATCTGTACAGTCACTGATGCAGAAATTTAATAGCAAACTAGGACATAGTTCTCTAAACTTGACTTCTGTAGTATCCTAGGTAAAATGGGAAGGCTCAGTGTTAAGTTCACTGATGTTCTTGGCCTCTTCTAAGTACTTGCATTTGTCAGATGTATTCCTCTAAAATTAGATGGCATCTAGTTTTTCCCTGGATTATGATTCTAGCTGCAGTACCAGAAGCACTCTGCTTTGATTGGTATATGCTGGTAAACGCTACCAGCAAAATGTTTCTAATAAGGATTACATCCAGGAGAAGGATTCTTGTGAATAAAAAGGTCTGTGCTTCAGACCTGTTACATGATTTGTCTGTCACAGCTCAACTGCTCACATTTGCAGTATGAGTCACGTCTTTAAATACCTGTGTTACAATAACAAACCTGAACAAAATACATTTGGCAGTGGCCTTAATTTTGCCTAATGGTTCCTTCTCATTTTAATTTCTTTGCAAGAATTTCTCTCCTTTGTCATTCATTGCCCACATTGGTGTGTTTTTTCCAGTTGCTGAAATTGATGGGAATACCTACTGGCGCCACCCTTTCAATAGCTTGTTCCAGCCCAAACAACTGGAGGAATTTATCATTATGGATATCAGTCGGGTTCAAGAAAAGAAAAAAGGTGCAGGTGCAGGAGCAAGATCCAACAAGGTAAAAAGAGTTCCTCTCTGTTTGATTCAGTGTTTTAGGCTGCCTTCTTCCTTCTCTCCCCTACTCAGCTGAATTTCTGTTCTCAATCATTCTGCCTTGCAGTCAGATACATGCTTTTCTGTCTTGCCTTTTTGGAAGAGCTTCTACCTTCTGGCAAGACAGAAACCTCTTCGCAGGAAGATGTGGACAGTGGTTTGGAAGTTGCACAGGCATTGTGTGAATTCCACTTTCAGAAATTCTTTTCTGTTGAACAGCTTAAAAGCTACTTGTTACTCTTATTACTGAAGTTGTTTTATATTAGCTTTGGAACTCTTCAATTATTAAATTGTTTCTGTTGGAGTGTAGAAGCTTTTCTTTCTAATCAGAGTTAATGAATCAGCACTAGAAGGTTTCTTTTCTGGGTCAGAAGTTGTATGTGGTTGAAAGTTACGAAGGAAAAAACCAAAACAAATGTCTAGTCCTAGAAATAGCCTTTGTGGATTCTTGTGAAAAGTAGTTGGCCTGTCAATTACCTTATTTTTTGTAAAGATGAAAAGTAAGAAGCAGCAACCAGTGCATTTGTTGCTTGATGTAGAAATACAAGTTTAATTACAAATGTAATGTAAAACAGTAATGCAGCAGTACAAATATTCTAATGGCATGGCCAGTTAAGCTGCGTTTGATTACAAGGGTTTTATTTTTCCTTCCTGAAGCACACGCTGGCTGAAGCCTGGGTACAGAAAACCTCGGAGTTGAATACGGATCATCAGTATTTCTGCTGTACCCACTTGGGGCACATTCTGAATCCCGGCGACCTTGTCTTAGGGTCTGTTCTGTTTCTTGTTTTTTATTAAATGATATTTAATGATTGAATTATCTGGATTCTTTACAAGCTTGTATGCTATTGAGAAAGTTTTGAACTGTTCTGATCTCTAAATCAGCAAAAGGGACAGAATCTTCCATCTTGGCCATCAAAAGATGATTCTAATATGGAAAATACTTGTTTCTACCGGAAATTATCTTGTCAAAAGGGTTGTTAGTAATAAGAGAGCTGAAGTATTTAGAGCGCATATTGGGATATCAGTTTAGACACAAATATATGGGGGGACTTTTAAAATACTAGGCAAAATCTTTTTGTTAGATAGTGATTATCTTATCTAGCAGTGCAAAATTTTTGTAAGATTAGGCAAGTCAGGTGATTCTCAAACAAGCTAAAACAAGAATGTTTTTGGAGCTGTGAGCCCAGCAGAACCTCAGTGGATATTGAAGTTTGGGTTCAGGAGCCCGGGATATGATACATTTAGTTGGATTTTGTAGACTTACATAAAAGGGCAGGATAAAATACGTATTTTTGGTTTAGATTCGACTTAGCGAACTGCAACTTAAATGACGAGTTTGCCAATAAGATGAACCCACGCAATATTCCTGATGTGGTAAGACCATTTTCTTTATCTGTACAAAGTTCTCTGCATTACCTGGGGCATTGGGAAGTATGGGTTTATAATGAACACTCATTATTTTCATAGTGAGTGGGGGATATTAATATTGAAATAAAAAAAGAGGGTTATTAATATTGAAATGTGAATAGGATATAATTTTGAGAATTGTTTTTTCACCACTTAAATACTTGAGTGGTAGTTAGATAATACATTAACTTAACTTAATCTTTGTTGTTCTTGTTCAAATTACCATGCATTGCGTGGTGAAAACTGTATTACAACTCAGGTGTGTTTCTCTTGAGGACATAATCCAAAGTGTTTGGGAACTTTTGAACTGACAAATGCTATATAAATTCTGCATGAAACATTTCAGTGCCAGACTGACTGTGATACTTGTTCAGCTGATTTTACAGTTGCCCAAGTCTAGACTTGGTTGTTGCTTTGGATTTTGAAAGTGTGTCATCAGTAGTGTCGAAGGTATGAATGTGTAAATACGTGCTGGTTTTCACTGTAGGTACTAATAAAGAAGAGCTATGATCGTACCAAACGCCAGCGTCGCAGAAACTGGAAGCTGAAAGAGCTGGAAAGGGACAGAGAAGGCATGAATACAGACGATGAAAGGTTCGCTATCTGCCATGAACGCTTTTCATTCCCTTCAACTTAGGATACTGCACCTAGAAATCTAGAAGTGTAGAAATAACACTTCTCAGTTTCCACTGAGATTAAGTGCAATGTAATGCCTAAGATGTGTATCAAGGGGGCACAAGTGAAAGGTGCTAGTTCTGTCTGAGCATGATGGTGGCTCATAGGAGAGGTTGATACTAGTGTTCTTGGAAGAGCAGTATCTCTGTGTTACATATTTCTATGTAAGGCAGGAGTGCTTTAAATATATGCACCTTTCTTAGGCTTATCCTCTCTTGACTGCTTAGTTCTTGGGGAACTGAGGATGCTGAGGACAACAAGCCAGTGGGTATGGAAACAGACTGAATTCTGAAATCTTGTAACACTACAGGTTTTTCAGGTTTACTGTTGGAAAATATGAAAGGTATTTTTATGGGTTTTTTTTTCCCAGAAAAGCTTAAATCGTGAGACAAGTGAATAATACCAGAATCATTGCGTGTATACCTTACAATTGGTGTCTGTCTAGCTAAAGGGACTCTTATGTGAAAATATGCTTGTCACTGTTTCTTTCAGTGACAAAGCTGATACAGCAACAGCAGATCTAAATAACGTTCAACTGAGTAATAAAAATTAGAGTTAAATGGGGACAATCAAATTATTTGGAAAACTAATAGGTGATAATAAAAAAAAAAGGTAGAAAGAATGAGTTGGAAATGTGAGAATGCTATCAGCCTGTCTGAAAGACTGTGGATTGCAGTCCTTCCTTGGAGCTGTGTTTCTTTGATTTAATTTTGTTTTATAAATTTGCATAAAGGAAGAGTGAATAAATAGATTAAGCATCTTTTACAGACAATACCAAGACTTCCTTGAAGATCTCGAAGAAGATGAAGCCATAAGGAAGAATGTCAACATCTACAGAAGTAAGGCCTTTTTAACCACTGAATTGCATGTAATGAAATCATGACAGTTTGAGTCAAAATATGTTTACTAAAGTTCTGTATTCAGATTATTTGAACTCCTCATGCCTAGAAAAATGCTGTAGTGTAAAAGCTTCAGGTGTTCAGTGTATTTCACATGCACTGTATGGATGCTGATAGGGTTTGTTTGCTTGTCATTAACATGAGAGAGAAAAGCTTATTTTCTCCCACACCCATAAATTCTGCTGGGTGGAGGATTTGATACATAATATAGTATCTTCCATGAGTGCCATTACCATGGGATTGTTGGTTTTAGGAGGGATTTGTCTTTGTTAGTTGTTTTGGGGGTTACATTTTTAGTTCCCCTTCCTTGGGATTGGTATTTTGTTTGCTTATCTGTTGGGGTTTTTTTCTGTTTTTAGATGCAGATGTTCCAGTGGAGAGTGACACGGATGAGGATGGTCCTCCACGAATCAGTCTGGCTGAAATGCTAGAGGATCTCCATATCTCCGAGGATGCCACTGGTGGAGAGGGAGCAAATATGATGACAGAATAAGAATAGTGCATTAGTCAATGCAATAAATATTCCCTTGCTAAGGAAAACATACCTAAAACACATAAACTGATCACATGAACATGCAAAGTGATGTGATAACTACTGCTATACCCCTAAGTAATGGGCCTAAATTAATATTTTATATATATCTTCTAGAAAATCAGCAATTTAAGTTAAATTTCTGGTGCAGGCATGGCAATATAAGCTCCACATGCTCTTCCCTTCCCGGTGAGCTCTGTCCTTGAAACTTCAGCAGTGTAAAGGTCAGCTGACTAACATCAGAGTTATCCACTGGGAGTAATCAGTTGTCTTATGCTGAAGACAACTGATAAAGAAGGATGTCCAGAGAGATTTCATTCTTCCTTGCCAGATTTGTAGGTAGGATACCTACCTACTGTTTACTGCCTTAATTTCTTCATGTGGGAAGGATTTTTCCTGTCTTAATCTTTTTGGAACGATGGTTGAAGCATGTTATGATACAGATTTTTTTTCCATACAACAGTGTGTTGGGGAAGCTCAAAAATGTAGCTTCTATTCGTTCGGTGAAGGAACTCCTAAGTTCCATGTTGTGTACACACAAAAAAACTTCCCTGTAGATTGACAGAAGATGCAGCCCTTGATGAGAGAAATTGGAGACTTCTGTTGAGTGTGATGAATGTTGTACTATATTCCATGCCTGTATGAGTGGATTAAAGCAATATGCATGATGTCTAATTAATACATCAGGCATGAACTATTAAAAAGCTCCATAGATATTTTTGGTCCATCATTTTTTAGTTAACTTTGTAATCAAATTTCACTCTGCTGCAAGCCTGAAGAGGACATAAGTGGTGTAGGAGGACATTACATTCTTAAATCCATCTTGTTCTAATTCATGTTACTGCACAGAAGTGGTTCAGTAACAATTCTACTAACAGTTTATGTGAATACAGATTTGATTTAACTTGGTGTAAATACAGAAGCACAGCATAGAGTGGTTTTGCCACTGCATTTTTTTTTTTTTTTAACTTAAGCAAAAAAAATGTTCTGAAATAACTGGCATTTGTGAAGGAGGGAAATACTAACAATGTAATATTGAAAAAAATACAGGTGTAGGATTAATCAAACAAAAACGATTCCTCTATCAAGGATCTGTATAGCTGAAGTGAGAATGCTTATAGTTTGCCTCTGCTTATAATAGGCGGGTTAAAAATAATGCTATTTCCCTGTAGTATTGCCAGAGGAAGTGGCTGGAGCACCAGTCTCTGTTTCATCGTACTTCACATCCTTTCAAGGCCTCAAAGAAAAGCTAAGAAATAATCAAGGAGTTCTCTGTATTCAGCTTCCTGCCATGTGTGAATGATTCTTATCCTTTACTTTAAGCGTCAGGTTTTGCTAAGTGTTTCCCAGCAGGTGTGAATCTGTGGGATTTAGAGCTACCTGTGAGCCCAGGCAGTTACGCCATCGAAGGCAAAGATATTTTTCATTGTAAAAAGCAGAGCTAGGTTTAGTTACCAGTCACTCATACTTTGTTTTTATTCCGTCTCACAGTCTTCTAATAATCCACTTGTAAAGGGGGAAAACTTGGAATTTGCAAAGAAAGTTCTGATGCAGTGAAGCTCTAAGCTGTCTGTTGGCAGTGTAAGCAGTGCCATCTTTGTGTCAAACTAAGCTCTTCTGCTTCCACTCTTGGGAGCTTTGTCGTGGGTTTTACTATGTAAAACAGTTAAAACTCCATAAAGCTGCTGGGAATTAAAGGTACAATTTGTCTCGTGACAGTAATATAGTTCAGTATAGGGAAGGTGTAAAACCATGCTTAAAAGATATATATGAGAATGCAGCTGCATAATCTGAATTATCACTGCAGAAAATATTGCACATATTTTACAGTAGCTACATCTGCTAGTAATGCTGGGGAGATACAGATAAACTCAATTCTAGTGACCATTGGGCCAAACCTGGAGAACTTTAATTTGTAACGTGTGGGCAATGAATGCGTTCTGTATCCAGATGAGGTGCAGTTTGGGTTCTGATTTTTTCTGACAGGTAAAAATTATGGAGCTTTTATCTGCTGTAGTTTGGCAATAGCTTCCTGTTGCTGGCAGGTGAAGGGGGAGCAATAAAAGCTCATTTTAAACTGCTATTTTGATCAAGAGTTTTCTTTCCTGTAATATTTTTCTTCAGTAGTGTGTCTCAGAAATTTCAGATGTATTACTGTCTTGTCTGTCATCCTGTTTGTTACTGGAGATGTCGCTCTTCCTGCCCCTTCCTCCCCCTGCCAGGGTCTGTTGCCAGTCTATTAGGTTTCAAGCATCTTTCAGCAAGAGTCTTGTCTGGAACAATCTCCTGCTGTAGCTGCTAGGCAAACAAGTCATAAATCTAAGTATATCACTTGGGTTTTTGTGCATCTGTTTGCTGGCTGGTAACACATAGGAACAGCTCTCCAATGAGTGGGTAAGCTATGTGTACTTGAAACCAAAGGTAGTTGTAATTTAAGGTTCCCTACAGTGTCCCTTTAACATTTAAATGGTTGGGAGCCAAAGTAGTCTTAGATGGTGTTCCAGCAAATGAAATGTTTGCTAGGGCCTTCTCACTGACACCAGGTGGGTGAGTAATTCAATAAAAGGTACTTAACTCGCAACTGATAAAAGGCTGCTACTTACCCTGCGCCTATTTCTGAAAATCCCTCTTGAGCCACAGCTTTTCAGTCATAAGTACTTAATGATGAATTTTCACTCAGATTTTGATGAATTTTGAATTGGAAGAGTTAAAGCATATTGTCCCACTGGCTGTCTTAGGGAGGATGGGGGGTTTGCTTTTGAAATGTGAATATATGCATGTGTGTGTACCAGATTTGGGACAGAGTCTGTGTGGTAGTGACTGCCAAGTGGTAGCAGTACATACTGTAATTTATGAATTGGGTGCAGATGTAAAAGGGTTGTCTGAAGTAATTACATGATGGTTAAATTTGAAGTGTACTCGCCACATGCAGTAAGCTGGTAGTAAGACTAAAAAGGAAAAGAAAATGCTTTTTAAAGTATAAGAAAAAGAAGCACAGCAAGCTGGTGAGATTCTGTTTCCATAGAGAAGTTTTGTCCTTCAAAACAGCCAACATTTTATTCTTCCAGAGTCAAGGCTTTTACAGCGAGAAACCAAGGAAGGTTTCGTCAGCCTCTCAGCCCTGTCAGACCAACTCTAATGGTGAGGAAGTAGTTACTCAAGCTAACTTAAGTTACTTAATTAACTTAAGCTACTTTTCTTATCTGCCACCCCATCCTTCCAGGTGAATTACTGGGGGAGAAGAAAGAAGACAGAAGATGCAAGACTGGATCTAAACTTTGTGGGGTTTTGGTGCTGAATTCTCATTTTGCTTAATGGTGAATCATTTCAGGGGGTCAGTTGCCTCAGTTAGCAGTGTGTGTTTGCAGTAACTCCCCAGAGCACTTGATTCTAGATCATTGTGAATTTGATCATTTGAAATTCAAAGTTCCTACATCAAAAATAAGCAGTTGTCCAGAACTTTGTAATAACTGAAAGTTTTGCTCACAGAAAATGGTGGAGTATGTTATGTGGCATAAGTCAAACCTGAGGGCACAAAATGTGTCTGCTTGAGGGGAAACAAATACCCAGGAAGGGGTGGTTGGGATATGCAAGCACTCTTTTTTATATTTATTCTTTTAAACAGAAAAAAAACAGTCTTATTATCTATTGAAGATGAAAATCTAAGGGTAAGGATTTCACCTTTAACTCCTTTTTAAAATCTGTTAGTAAAATCTCTTATGTAATTACAGAGGTTCCCAAATACATTTCAGGTGTAAATTACTCACATGAAATATTTATGGGAAAATACTGTTAAAATCATGCCATAAAACTCACCTTTGTACTAGAAGGACTGCTTCTGTCCCAATTTTGGGGAATTCCAAGCTGAGGAGCATGTGCTAATTGTTGAGTTATCAAACTGGTTGGGATTTCTAGTAAAATCAATGTTATTTTAGTCTCTTTCAGAAGTAGCTTAAATATAGGGAATTACAGGGAATTGTGTCATACTTTTTCCTTAAAGAAGTTAGACCAATACAGAGGTTGCTTCTGTTGGGTGGGTGGGTTTTGGCTGCTGGGATGGTGATGGGCTTTCACTGGATACCACTGAGAAGAGCCTGGCTCCTTTTTCTTTACCGTCTCCTCTCAGATAGTAAGACAGACAGATGCGATCCCATTGATGCTGTCGCTTCCCTAGGCTAAACAGTCCCAGGTCTCATCCTCTCTTCTGTCACAGTGCTGCAGTTATAGTGGAAGTGAGGAAGGAGATACTGAGCCGATTGTACCATTTTCAAACAGGGAATGTATTTTGGGAAAATCTACACATGTAAAATAGTGCTCATCCTCTCAGACCAGTGTAGCTGTAGATGTGACCCCTCTCTGCCCAAACTGCAGATTAGTTCCCATATCAATTCTACATTGTCTCATAAAATTGCTGAGTTTGATGTGGGCAGGTACTATTAGACAAACTCATTTTTCTTACTGTAATTATAACATGCTAAAGATGTAACACAAAGTGTCGGTTGTGTTGTGTCTTTCTAGGCCAAATGATCAAATCCACACCGCTTGAAAGACAAGAAGTGTAGGTATCGTTTGGGACAGGCGGCATTCACAGCAGGAGGCGCTTGCCCATTCTTCTGTAGAAGTTGCCATAGAAAAATTGAGACGTGCCTGCGATTAACGTGATGGTCCACCTGATGTCAGTATTCCCTCACGTTAATGGCCCCAACCTCGGTCCGTTTAGCTGTTCTAAAGATGGCTATAAGCTCCGAAAAACTTCTTGATGCCGGTGTAGTTCCTTATATTTTCATTTCAGTTTAAAATAACACCAGCCTAACGAAAAATAAGACAAAAGTTGCTTTGATCTTGATGTTAAAGCACTTATTCATAGCAAACTAATCCTGCCAGCAGATTTGTTTCTACTTACACTTTGCCATGGCTGCTTGTTTTAGTTGCATTAAATGAGCAATTGAATGTAGGAGCACGACTCTTGTTGCGTTTCAGAGGGGTTTTGGCAATGTTTCCTACAGCTTGTCCAGAACATAACCACATAGCAAATATTATTTGCCTTCAGAAATCACTGATGTTTTCTGTATTTCACCTTCATTGCCAGCTTAGGATGGAAACTTGGTTAGGATATGTAAGAAACAGGAGATAAAGTTTAAAATTTGTCAGGATGTCATTTCCATGGTGAAAACAAAAAGAATAATCATAAGGAAATATAAGTGCCTTCATTTAATTTGAATATTCAGCTTTATAAAATGAAACAATTATGTATGACACAAATCCACAGCTAATGTTCCTTTTCATATCAACTAAGAAAATGTTTCAGATGTGCCAAGGACTGAAAACACTTGGAAGATATTTTAGGGTAATCTGTGCTCAGTGACAAGTTTTGTAAGATAGAAGGAAACTATTTAAGCTGTAAATTACTCAGCAGGTTGTTTTGCATACCACTTAGCATGATGAGGCTTTGTGCTGCATGGGTTGTAACAATTAACGCCTTTATTATTAATGTAGGTCTTTGTTAATTCATACCTTTTTGTAGGGTGGATCTGAGATATAAAGGGCTGCAATTTTTAACCCATACCTCTGCTGAAGTTAATTTATGCTAATATATGAAAGCTTGACATATTTAAGCTGGTATGAATGCAGCAGAAGAGAAAACGCTGGAAGTCTCTTGAAGTCCTAGGTTTGTTTTAGACTTTTCTTTGAAAGGCAAATGATCATATTGAAAATA